TACTCATGATAGTTCATGAGTGGCGATCCAGCATAATATGGTAATACCATCTGGTGAGTTCCTTGATGGTCTTATGGAACACCTCATTTCTACAGAGCCTGTTGCAACTGTTAGTAAGTACAGTTAAATTGGATGTTAGTGCAGAATTGGACTGATTAAGGTACACCTGTATGGGCAACACTTGTCACACAGTGAGATCCATTGAAAAAATAGAGAGGTAAGGGACCCTGGAAAGTAAAGAGACAAGAGGAGGACAAAACTACTCACTCCTCCTTATAATCTAGCAGATGTTGTTAGAACAGCCAAAGGGGGTAGTCAAAAACCCTCAGAAGAAGAAACTGGAGATCATGTAAAGAATGTGAGAGAAAAGTATTGGGAGAAGGCCACATACTAGCCCATACAATCTCCCCCAACTGGTAATTCAAACAGCAGTTAAAAACTTAGAAATATGATGAATCTGATGAGATGCAACTCTCCCAAGTTTTCTTGCCTGTAAAGAAAGTCCAGAATAGGCAATATAAATCAACTTGCAAAGCTACCTCATCAAAGTAATTAGGGATGAATCTCAGGAAACTGAAAGGAGTTGGTGTGAGGCACATAACATCTTGGGTCTCTGACAGCACATAACAAACGATCAGTGTCTGATCAGTCGTAAAGGTGAGAAATAGCTGGCAAAAGAATTGTTGAGAAGGATTTATCCCTTTCCCTGGCTGCTGAGTCTTAGAAAGAAAGGACCTGCTTAACTTAAACAAACATCAATATCAATATAGATATATGATAGTAAATCCATGACATCACCCACAGAGGATTGGCAATGATCTGCCCAAGTGGAGGAGCCATGAAACTAATGATGGAAGAGTATCCACAGAGTGAGAATCAGAAGCAGGGGGTCAGGACACATGACAAGCAGTCACACCATGATTTCCAGCAGGAGCCAAAGAAAGTCTAGAGGCCAACAACAACAAGGAAGAAAGCAAATGGGTGACATCAATTTGTGATTCCAATGCTTCTGCATAACTCAAGGGATGAAGAAAAGGAGCCTCACGTAACTCACAGAGAGCTACCACACATAGACAAACTCCCTCCAACAAAGCATCTCTACCCAATAAATCCCAACAACATATGAACCAGGAAACCAAAGAAAGAGCAGAAGCTGACAATCTTACCAAGGTGGAAGTCAGTAAAAGAACAATTCATCCTCAAACTGATAGGTTTCCAACAAAACTTGCTGTGGGAGGGAGAAGAAAATCTCAGAACAGTAGTGAAGGTCAAACGAATCCAAGAAATTGTAATCTGTTCAAAGTGATCACAGGGTCCAGTCTGGAACCATACATCTCTAAAAGAGTGAAGGATGACAAAATAAATAATCACCCTCAGACCTGTTAGCCATCAAGGAAGGAGTAGATTCAAAGGCAACCACAAAAAGCTCACAAACCCAATTGACTAATTGAAGAAATGGAGAAGGAGGTGACTACTCCAAATTGGCCTCGTGAGAGCCAACCTAGTAATTCTCTCCAGACTGTCCTGGATCATTGACAAAAGCAGCCTCAGAACCCCCCCTAAGAGATGCCCCTGGACCAAATATATGTCTCCATCTCACAATGAATAAAATCATTGATAGCATTTCACAACAATTAAACAATGATTATTAAATATAATTTATAAAGAATGCCACTAGATGACAAAAATTATAGCCAGGTACGTTAATTATCACAGCATTTGTGTAGAGAAACCAGTGTCTAAATGCTTTGTCAGGAAAAAGTGATAAAATCATCTGAATGAGGAGTACAGTACCAGGAGAGAGGGCACATTGACATAGGTGGAGAATATATTGTCAAGGGTAACTGAGTGGGATATAAAAGACTGGGGCAAGAGAGAAAAAAATCAGACCAATGCTTAGATAGGCAAAGTTGAGACTCTGGAGGTTGAGGAAGAGCTATAAGTGTCAGCGGGGGTTTGTATGTTTTGAAATATTAAAATGAATAGTAATTTGATGGAGGAAGAAAAAATAGCTTTACAGTCCTTAAATAATAACAATAATATTGTTGTTATACAAGCTAACAAAGGAGTGTGTGTAGTGGTGTTGAACAAATGTGATTACATTTCTAGTGTACATCAGTTGTTATATGATGGACTGTATGTTTCCCTTAGAAGAGATCCTACAACAAAATTACATAATTTGATAAATTAAAATGTTGATCAATGTATAACTTTGTCACCTGAACAAACCAAAAAAGTTCAATTCTTTCCAATTTTTGTCCACCTTGTTTTTAAACTTTACCTAAGATTCATAAGTTACACAATAGTTTTAGACTCATTGTATCGGCACCTCGTCACAGTATGTTGCAAAGTACATTGCTCAACGGTTTTTGTATTGGAGTAGCAAAAATAAATATACTATTAAACATTCTGCTGAATCTCTTGAGAAAATTGAAAACATGAAACTTAATTCTAAGTGTTTATTATTAGTGAAATTGACAGTTATCTGATCACAACAAATCATAATATAATATGTCATTTGATAGATGAAAACCTAGGCTTTCTATTGGTTATAGGTAATACATAATTAAACATAAAAGACAACTATTAACAAATCCTGAAATAGGATTTGACAGGTGGGTATTGCAGGAGGCATCTGATTTTTTATCTGATAACTCTAACCAAACAAAATTGAAGGCTATAAAAATTATGGTTTGTCTGAGCAATGATGATTTTATTGTGAGTAATTTATGTTTAATTTCATAGTTAATGTAGGGGTGGTGGATAAAATAGGGAAGAGAAGATACCTAGAGAAAATGTATCATGTGTATCACACTAGGGGAAATTCAGGATTTTTTTCAATATTGCCTTATAGAATTAAGAACTTGTATACTATTAAAAATGGATTACTTGCTAAGATTTTATGTTATTTGGTATAACATAAACAAAAAGTAGTATAATAAAATTTTGAATGTAAGACACAAAAACCTTATGTCACGGGCACTAAAGGATACCTGTGGCAATAGGGTTAAAACCACAATCACAAATCCATAAAATTTAATCCTTACTTTGGCCTACAGATAAGTGTATAAAACTGCCAAAATAGGCATTAAATTATATAAATTTGTGATTGTGGATTTAATTCTAATTTCATTACTTCATTTTAAAATTCATAATTTTTCAATACACTTGTTTGTTTACTTTTTCTGTTATACCTATATAAGGTATATACCTTACCTTTAGAAACTGTCACATGTTTATCCATCAATATGTAGCACCATCTGTTGGGTTGAAAATATATTTAAGTACGTGTACGATATGTTTACCATTTATAAAAAAATCTGTATATATTTATCGGAATATCAAAAGCAGATACCCACAGACCAGTCAAGTAAGCTGGTGAAATCTTGTAGCAATAGTCCAAGCCATCTAGTGGCTAGCCCCACTGACATTAGTAGGTAGGTAGCAGACAAAAATATTGCTGTTTTAGAAATTTTTGAATTGTCATACCAGAAATGTTGGTGCCGTTTTAGCAAATTATTAATATATATGCAAATAATACATCATAACCAATACTTGAATAGTTAGTTTTCCACTTAGGAATTCAATAGGGTGTTTTTTTTTGAAGAATGAATTATTTGGAAACCTTGTCGATCTCTACTATTAAGTACTACCGTACTTAATAATGAACTGAGCTTTTGCAAAAGCTCCTGAAAAATGTGAAGACTGAGTTCTTGTGCATGACTGTACTTTACAATGTTTATGACTTTTTCTTCACACTGCTGAAATCTTGATTAAGTACCTTTGATGCTAAATTTTCTTAGTGTAGTACACAATGACAGCTCAATAAATCCAGCTTATCGAGATCTTTCATCAGAAAAGAAACAAGACCAGAGTTCACTCTTACCAAAGAGAGACATCCATCAGTACACAAGCTTATCAATTATCTCACTTGAGTTCATGCTGTATTCATCACTTTGTATTTTAGCATTCAGACATTAGTGTCAGCATTGATATGATACAATATGTGAACTCCAACAATGATTAATTGGTAATTCTAAAGCTAAGAACTGTAGTCTTGGAACATTTGAACCAATTCTACACCAATATCAACATTTTCTAAGAATACAGAGAATATCAGAAAAGAAACAAGACCAGAGTTCACTCTTACCAAAGAGAGACATCCATCAGTACACAAGCTTATCAATTATCCCACTTGAGTTCATGCTGTATTCATCACTTTGTATTCTAGCATTCAGACATTAATGTCAGCATTGATATGATACAATATGTGAACTCCAACAATGATTAATTGGTAATTCTAAAGCTAAGAACTGTAGTCTTGGAACATTTGAACCAATTCTACACCAATATCAACATTTTCTAAGAATACAGAGGGGATAAAGTATGAGATACACATGTATTTGAATGACATATAAAATCATCCATTGTGATTTTTGGACCATATAGTATGTATAGAAATTAATAGAAAAAAATAAATCCAATACACTAGAAATATGAGGATAGAAAAATATCAATATAAACTGGTCACTGAGTGCTGTTTTAAATACATGTAATGGTGCAGGCATTTGAGAAATGTAGAAATCATTTACTTGCCAAGCTAACATTGAATAGATAAACAACAAAGATTCTATGTCTAAAGATGCAATTTTCAAAAATAATGTTTCCTTAGCAATGCTACTATATAATACAGACATATTATGAAGGAGCTAGAAGTCCACAAAGCTTCAGAAAAGTATACAAATGCAGAATTATGAACGAATAAAAAAGCTGAATGCATCTTGAAATGGAAATAATCAGATGTTAAGTACAATACACTGTCCCTTCAAAATAGTTCATATAAATTTCCTATTTCATTATAAATAAAATAATACTGTTGTGGTTATAACAATAGAAAACAAGTGCTGGTGCCTTTACCAATGTGTAACTTGACACTAGATTAAAACATATATGAACTTAATTATAGTATTTTGGCATTTGTGAATTATCATCTTTCATACCTTTTCATTCTCTGATGGTTTTGGTTTTTCTGAACATATTTTTTGCAATGGCTTACTGAAGTCTTCTAGTGCACCTACAAGAAAAAGTAACTGTGTCAAACAAAAAAGGATATGTGATTGAATAACTCCATAACAAATCACTCAAAAGTTAACATTTTCCTTATGTGAAAATGTACTTCCAATAGATACTAACCTCTCACACAGATAGCTATCTTCCATGTGCATCGGCCTCAGAGATTTGCTTGTCACTAGCCTTTAGGCAACTTCCATCTAAACATGATTTCTCATGATTTGTGCTACTGCATAATGACCTTATTATGCAGCAAAAGCCCTCCACTGAAAGGAGGGCAACACAACCTGTGCCCTAGCTTCCTCTGTACTTTGCACTCATGATCTTCATTCTATGATGAGGCAAGGAATACAAAGTTGTAGCAGAAGTGGGGAGGAAGAGTGGGAAGTGTGCACAGAAGTGAATAACTATCAGAAATACATATTCAGGTTAAGGAAAATATTAACTTTCAAGGAGATACAGACCTCTTTACACAGAATGCTAGAATCACACATTGACATGATGGAGGGGCTGGTGCAAAAGTTACCCAGATGAGCTCCCTTTAGAAAGTGCCCAAAGGAAACCCATGGAGTGTGACACCCAATGGCAGGGACTCCATTAGGGCATCTCATCTCTTCTAGGGTACACACTTCACCCAGACTGACAACCAGACAGTTCTGACAACCCAGGCAGAGCACATATGTGAAGACCCAGTACACCAAGCCACATGGGAACCCAACATCTGGGCAATAGGAAGGGGAATGCAAATATGGTGGGTCAACTTTGGTCCGAACTAGGTGTCAGGAATTTTTCATCTGGTCCACAGTAAGAGGAGGATACCTACCAATCACGTGAGTGGACTTATGTTGGCTGGTCCTAAGTCATCTCAACACCTGAACACTCAGGAACCAACATCCAGGTGGTAGTAGGAGGAAAGATTCTGGTATTTTATGAGTATAAGTATGAGAGAGGTGACCTGCACTATACTTTCCACTGACTGGCACCATTTGTTCATCTCCCCAACAATTAGGTCCCAATTATTGAGAATTCTCCATGGGCCACAAACCCAGTGGCCAGGATTTGGTAAGTTGTAAGGGTCTCCCTTGCTCCATTCAAAGAAAAAGTGGGAGGAATTTATAATGTAGAGACCCAGAGAAAATTCCCAGATCCCCATCAGACACCTGCTAGAAAGGTCTTTTACTGGAGAGAGTCAAATGAGTCACCACATAAACCTATTTTGAAAAGCCAGCAAGCGTGAGCCACGAAAGCAGGCAGAGCATCCTGGTACTGGCTTTTTCCATGATAATCCATGGAATAGGTATGGTCTGAAATGGACAGCAGACAGATATCAAAATATACCAAAAGGATAACTCATGTGGCTGTGCAGGACACCTCATCTCAACAGCAAGCATATATGGAAACTGGGCAGATGGTATGAGTGCTTTCCATTATCCTGGCTTGATGTAGAATTTTGGAAAATAAGTGAACCTTGGGAGGCACCACCAGCCACCTGGCAGGATCCTGGAAGAAAATATTATTAACCAAAGGTGAATGTACTCACTCATTTAGATACAGTGAGTATACTGTAGGACAGTAAATGTAGGAAGGCAGTGACAACCAGGATACAAGACAGCCAAATGGTGAAGAGAGTGGGCGACAAAGTTATGAGAGGTGGTCCACATGCTAGGATGCATGATCTTGTCCAACAGCAGTAGGAAAAAAGCAGCGAGAAAATGAGAGAGTTGACGAATCTGATGGGATAAAGTGCAGACCATCTGCAAGCAACAACCTCTAGAACAAACAAAGAATGTCACAGGCTGTACCAATAAAGACAGAAAGAGATTCGTCTATGGAGGAAGAGGAATCTAAGGGCTTGTTGTCATTTGTTATTAAGCACAAAGCTACACAAAGGGATATCTGTGCTCTGCCCACTACGGGTATCGAAACTCAGTTTCTAGCACAGACATACCACTGTGCTACTGGAGGGGCCCCATATAGTTAACATTTTCCTAAATTGAATATGTATTTCTAATAATACTCACCTTCTCTCACACATAGCTATTATTTGACTGCCAGGGTTTCTTCCTTTGCCCATCAAAGCATCAATCTGATATTTTCCTACTTCCTCCAGTCTTTTATACCCTACTCAATTGCCCTTGGCAATATTTATCTTGTGATATTCTCCACCTACATCAATGCACCCTCTATCCCAGTACAGTATATAAGCACCTAATTCAGATAATGTTATCACTTTTTCCAGACTGATACCATCCCAGTCTCTAACACCGACTCTTAGTGGGGAGGAAGAATGGGAGAGTGTCAACGGAGGAAGTATTATTGGAAATACATTTTCAATTTAGGACAATTTTAACTCCCCTTGGGTTTAGATCAGGAGTGTGTCAATAGAAGGTTGGCACCATAGTGGGGGAACTGCACTACATCCATAATAGGTTTGCTCTTTGCCCAGAACTAAATTTCAATATCATGGGTGGAATGGTACATGTGTTTTCATCAATATAGGCCAGCCCCAATAAGTTAGCTGAAGTTCCACTGCTCTGGGTTGGAATTAAGGGGTCTTGGTACCTATGTACCACATTGGTGGCTAGGGCGGTTGGACTGCAAGTTTATATATATATATATATATACACACACTTGTGACTGGATCCCAACCTGTAGCCATAGAGTGATGCATTCTAATCCACTGGTATCACAAGAAGAAAGTAAGCAACACTGAAATGGACAAACTTTCTTTTCCATCTGAAGAAGCTTGAAAGGCAACACTACAGGCTCAGTATGATGGAATTGCCTTACTCAGCTAAAGGAAACAGAACTCATCCGGTCTAGAACTATTTATATTCATCCTCACTCTTCAACCATGTGGGCAAGGTACATTTCACTTGCCCCAGGAATTAAGGGGAAGATGTGGAACAACTGTGTTCAACCAAGGACCTCTGCTAAAGAACCAGGTCAAAAAATGAGTTATGGATGACACTAGTGATTGAAATGGGTTCAACCTCCTCTCAATACACTATTGCCAATATGCATGTCATAACCATTGATAATTATGCCTTTTGAATTAAGCAAAAACTGAAACAAATACACAGCAACCTTAGAAATTAAACCCCAATGCTAAGTGAAAGACAGCATAACCTCTATGCCAGGAGCTTGAGCTTCTGCATAACCAGGTGTACCATATAATATCATGGCTGCCTCCACAGAAAGAGAACTTAAAATAAGTGGAAGAGTTGCACATACTGGAAGGGACTGCTAAAGCAGAAACCTGGGTGTAGCAGCCAATCTAGTGCTATCAAGAGGACCTGACATTGGGTTGGAACAAATCATATTATGAAGTGGAAATAAGGCTTAGAGTTTAATCCCGTCCTGTCCTGGTGGAATGCATCAACTGCCAAAGTCCAAAGATGAGTTACCTGGAAATTAAATTGCCAGTAGTTGGGTGATCCAATGAGAGATCAACCCACCAATTAAGAGTAGCAAAGTTAGAGTCAATCCAACAGAACTTGCAATGTAACATCTACTTCTTCGGGAGAATCTGTTTGGTTTGGTTCATTTTGAATTTTGCACAAAGCTACATGAGGGCTATCTGCACCACCCATCCATAATTTAGCAGTGAAAGACTAGAGGGAAGGCAGTTAGTCATCAACACCTACTGCCAACTCATAGACTAATCTTTTATGAATGAATAGTTGGAATGACTGTTACATTATAATGCCCCACAGTTGAAAGGTCGAGCATGTTTAGTGGGAGGGTGAATCGAACTTGCGGCCCTCAAATTGTGAGCCAAGTGTTCTAACCACCTGGCCATGCCAGGCCAAATCTGTTTGGAATAAGACAGTTGACCTGCTACCACAGGCATCACCTGTGGAACATAGCAAGCTAGAAAGTGATAAGATATGAATGGTGCTGAGAAGGAGGTCCAACGTTCAAAAACAAGTAGCCCTAGACCATGTGCTTCCATGATGAGAAACCCAAGACACCACCATGGAATTGTCAAATTGAAGCCTGTAACTGTGCTTAGGAAAAGAATGAGGACTCTTGTTCATGAATGTAGAGAGAGAGAGGATTTGCACAAGAAGGTGTGTTGCACTCCTATTGTTGGAGAGTTTTGCTGTACGATACATCATCATGTAGTAGCACAAATTCACGTAAACACACGTGAATTTAGGTGGTACTTTCCCCAAGGCTGGTGGCATGCAAGTCTCTGAGACAAAAATGCAGGACTTCAAGAGGAAAAATAACTATGTGTGTATGGAGGTATTCCTTTTTGAACTCACCTTTTTATGGAATAATTCACATTTTCTTGGATTCAGCTTAAAATTATTTTTCCTTAACTGATCCAAGACCTTTCTTTGCCCTTCATAAGCATTATCAAAGGTATTTCCATGTGCAATTATGCCATCCAAGTAGACGAGTATGATGTTTCAGGGTATTCAAACAGAGCACACTTCATTTATGATTGGAAAATAGCCAGAGCACCACAGAATGTAAATGGTAAAACTACATATTGCCACAATTCGTTTCATATGGTAAAGACCATTTCTCTCTGCGTGCTTTGTCTACTTCCACTTGCACATTTAAGATCCAATGTTGAAAACCATTTTCATCATGATAGGGCATTCATGGTAGAGCCAATCATTGGCAATGTATAGGCATCCTTCTTTGTAACTTTGTTCACCTTTTGGTACTACATGCAGAACCTTTTGGATACATCTACCAAAAGTATAATAGGTAATGCCAAAGATTAGTGCTTGGTTTAATCACTCCCTGGTCCTTCATGGCTTCTATCTTTTTGAAAGCCTCAACCTGTTTCACAAATGAAAGTCACTTGGCTATCTGATCTATTGGGCTACTGTATCAATCTTGTGAGATATTTTACTTGTTTGTCCTAAGTGATGACACTTTTATTCTGCAGATCCAGAAGAGTTCTACTAATCTTTAATCCATCAAGACATGCTGGAGTTTTTGGTTCTATTATGGCCCAATCATAAGATATAAATTTATTTTTGACAAGTCCTGGTATGAGTACTTCACTTCTTGGTGGTACAATGACTACTCTTTTGGATGTCACGAAAAGTCCAATTTCTGGTGTATTAAATGCCATAGAAATATCCTGGACATAGACTGTGAAGCTATTTGAAGCTAGCGTAACCTCACATCCATGTATACACATGAAGTCAACTCCCAATATGCATTCTTCCTTGATGTCAATTACCCACACATCAAGAGGCATAGAAGTTTCCTACAGTAAGGAAAGCTTTTAGTTTTCCTCTTGCTGGAAATTTATGTACACTTGCTGTTTCCATCATTACCTCATCCTTCTTCATATCTCAGACAGTTTTCCACTTTCAATACCAAATCAGGTCAAACTATTGTAGCTGTAGAACCAGCATCATTCAACATACTGTAAGCTTTCCCATCAATAAATCCATGGACTGGTTTCTTTGAATAGTGAACTTCTTATTTAATTTGGGACAAACAGAATATTCTCACCTGAGCTTTGCCCTACAATTCCAGCAAACTGCTGGTTCCTGATGTGTTCCTTTGATCTGGTTGGGCTCAAAGACATCCTTGGAGTATTGTCTCTTTGGTGTTTTATAACAGCTGTTGATTCCTCAGTCTTGGCTGTAATGGTCAGATTTACCACACCTATAACAGTTCTCCTTTCTTGTACTCTTTGAGAGGAGCTCTTATTCCTACAAGCATTTTTTGGCAGTTCTTAGCAGTATGTCTTTTACATTTGAAACATATTATTGTGGTTAATTCCCTCCATTCTATGTCACTAGTTGTCTATCTAGTCCTTTTTAATCATTGTAAGCTATTAGCAGCAGAGATTGATGTTTGAACACTACTCGATTTGATGATACAATAAGCAACTAAATATAACTTCTTAAAATTATCTGCAATCTTAATGGATTCTTATTCCATCACCAACTGCAGAGCTTTCTTTAAAGATGTTCATCTACTTTCCTTCAGTCTGATTCTCACATCCTCATCTGTTCTAGTATCTATAAACTTGTTACATGCCAACAAATCCATAATTTAACAAAGAGCACCAGGGTAAGATAAATTGGACAAGCTTTTTCAAATATGCAAGTTCAACTAATGTCTCTTCTTTCCTACATACCCTATTCTGAAACTTCATTTTAAATCTGAACCTGTTGGATAAGGTGGCTACCAATGATTGAGTTGTTATATATTTCATCTGGAAGGTTACATAATGTTGTCAACACTGGTCCTGTTAGATGGGCAGTAAAATGTATTTCTTCTTGTTCATTGTTCCACCCTTTACTCTAAGAATGATTTCAGACTGAAGATGATATGACTCCTATGTTACCTTCCCATCATAGTCCATTTGTTATTTGACAGACCAATACTAAACTCACCAGCTGAATTCTGGAACTGGATTCACCAGTGTCATAGTTGGAGAAGTCTATTATGGTCCTTCATTAATAGGTGTATACCAAACAAGTTCTCCTACTCCATATTTTGTATCAAATGGCATTCATACTTGAACTCCTGGTCTGATACAGAAAGATGTGTGGCTGGTTTAATCTTTATGTTTAATAATTCCTTCTCCAGAAAATTTTATTTTGTCATTAATGTTATTTTCAACCTCATTGATGCTCTTTGTATTTTGTTTTTTTTTTTTTTTTTTACTTTTTTTACTTTCGTTACTTGTCCCTTTCGTTTCGT